TGCATATAAATGATATATTTATGCATATTTCAATATATATTATTTATATTAGATGTATACACATGAAAATGTTCATTTAGATTAAATAAATATTTAAATTCTTTATAATATTTTAGTATAGCAATATTTTATCCTGTATATAAATACAAATGTACTAATGTGCATATTTTTACATAAATGATACAATTAAATTACTATAAATTATTTATATTACATATATACACATGCATGTGTGTGTGTGTGTGTGTTTAAATACTGTTTAAATACTACTACTAATAAGAAAATAAATTATTTAAAATTGTACTATATATTGCTTAAATATTATATTACATTATTGAACATAATGTACAATTGATTTAGATATATTGTAAACATAATATATTTTTACAAAATAAATAGATACATAACATACTAACATATATTCTAATGTACAAATGTACTAATGTACATACAGTATTTAGATCACAAAACAACTGTGTATAGCTATAAACAGCCACATTAAACACGCAGCATAAGGCCGCTCCTTTATATACACACACACACACACACACACACGTTCACACATCGGTTTGACAGCCACTGAAATCTGAGCCATCCATACAATGCATCTCGAATCAACAAAGGCCCTTTTCTCAAAGCCATTTCATTAAAAAGGCCAGTAGAATCCTATTACTCAAAAATAACACTATGGGATGCTCACATGACTGTTAAATATAGCTGCTTCTCCTTTTATTCACGGCCTCGGAGCCATCGAGCACAAACATCGGGCCATCTCAAGTGAGCTGCGTGACTTCATTTTCCGAGTCTTCAGCGTGAACACAAAAGGAAGACTCGGGGTGGTTTTGTTCAGCGTTACGATATCGGGTTAGCTGGTGACAGCGTGTACTAGCGCTAATTGAGCACGCCGGCACAATAGCATGTCAACAAATGACCTTCAAGCAGAACGAGGCACCATTTCATTAGCTCACAACAACAATCAAGCTAACATTATCTGGAAAAAAATCCCTAACTACAAGTACTATGAGAAAAATAGCAATGGCTGCCCTAGCATTAGCGCTAACTGCTTTTAGGGAATGAAAAGTGCAGCAGTTCAGAAATCACTCTAATAAACTCAAATAAGATCTGAACTCTCCAAGTTAGACATTTGGTGTTTGGCTATAGTTTAAAGGCCTGTGAATGCATTCAGGTCTTTAAATAAACAGACAGTATCTGTCCAGGTTGCTGGAAACTGGAGACGATCGAGATTATTAGGTCTCCACCGCGCCTGTAATGGCAGAATGGACTCTTGGGTCATTTTATTGTACGCTTTTCCACGTGTCTCATTACAGTCGTCCCACCAAAAATAGCTCAGACCGTCTCAGGAGCCAAAGTCCACCACACAAGACTAACACAAAGCCGGGAGATAAACAATGGCCACGAAATAGCCATTAGAGCTTCCTGAGGAACAATACGCTGACGCTCAACACCCAGTGAGCAGACCGGCCAATGGGGAGCGAAGCCTCTACAGCTACCACTTCCTGTTGAAAAAAAAACTGCTTCCTGTTGAAGTGATCAGCCAGAGGGAAGTTCCTGTCTGCGGGCAGCAGAAGTATTACTTCAGAGGACTCACATGTACTGTATGTATAAATATGAGCACTGTGTGTGATCGAAAGCCAAATTGTTGCACAGAAACATCTGAAAACAGAAAGCAAAGGTGTTTGCAGAGCCATTGTGGAAAAAAGCAAGAGCTCAATGGCATTTCCAGAGTCTCCGAACTCTCCTGTTATCTGATACTCAATGACGTAATCCATAAAAGCCATTTGGTTCTGGACGAAAACCACATTTTTGGCTTGCTGGATTCCCAACTGTTCTCCTGTAGGGCACTTTCAAGAAGAGCATACCACACTATTAGGTCAAATAGCACAGTTTACTCGTCGTAGATGTTTTTCTGCATGCAATGAAGGTGAAATATGCATTCAAACAAAGCAATACCGTTGTATTACGAAAGAGAGTAGCTCTGGTGAAAAGGTGCCCGAAACCGGTCTGACGTGTTGGTCAACGACAACAGGTGCCAAACATCTCGGTTTACATCATGCAAGTTGAAACGGAGACAATAACGTGCAGCTTTAAAAGAAAGGACTGTAAAATTACAGTTTACATTGAGTCACAGTCCATGAATTAGCTTTTAATACAGTTTAAAGCAAAACCTGGACAAAACTAGTTGCTACTGGGTGAGGTGCCTCGGTAGGTGACAATTAAAACCAGTTAAAGGGATAGTTAATTAATTGAGTAATTAATGACAGAATTTTCATTTTCGGGTGAACTATCCCTTAAACTATTCCACAGTTGTAACTTCGGTAGAAGAAAGTAATGGTGGTAACTTTTGGTCCAAAAGTTTGGAAACGAGACATGAGTCAAGCAGTCAAAATAAAAAATAAAAAATCCCTATTCTGAAAGCTGGACGAGGAGGAACTTTGCATTGACTCACATATGGAAACATTTCTCTCTAATACAATGCAGAGAATAATAAAAGGAATATTGGGTCCTTTCTTAAAAATCAGCACCAATTGAAAGTCTTGGAAGATGGATGAGACAAATTAACTTCATGAGACCATAAAAGGAAGAGAAGCCTCAGGGAGCGCTGACTCCTATCATTGAAAACGTCTGGATGGAGCCTCATTCTGGTCTCAATGTTCAACTGACCAGTTTCACAGAATGCTTCTCACCACAAGTGCAGAGACATGGGGAATATTTTGTAACGAAGCCTAAAGACGCGTCTGCCAAGGGACAATGACTGTGCTGACTGCGGAGAAATGACTTCTAGTTTTCAGAAACCACAAACACTGGGGTAAGCGTCAACACAAAACCTGCCATCTTTCATCTCTTTTAGGACACATACACATATTCTGATAAAGGGGGCTGAGATAAGAAATGACACCAAAGGTTTTCTAATGACATCATGTGTACAGGAAACTTCTGCAGTACTAAGAAGTGATGTGAATCTCAGAAGCAGAGTGGGTTGGTTTTGTCTGACTGAGAACTTCAAAAATAGCACTTGTATGCAACCGTGAAATCTTGAGAAGAAGGACTTTAACAAGACTCTTTAGATGATAACCCTTGAGTTGTGAAAATCTCGCAACATCCACTCTAACCGTTCCCCAAATGCACTCGGGTCTCGAAGGTTAGTTTTTCCCAGCACAAGAGTTACCACTACCATAAACCGCCGTGAGATCAGAGTTGGGGAAGGGTTACTACTGATATTTTGCAAAATAACAGAATGTGCCTGAACAGGTTTATAGGACCGAGCTATAATTTTAAAGCAAGAGACATAAAACAACAAGAACTGCATGAGACACGGCCCCCTGAGGAAAGCCTCCAGATGTAGGTTAGCCGGTACTGCAGCATGAGCTATGCAAGTACAGCAAGTTGTGACCCCACATTTCAAGCACAGGCTTGTGGGAAAACGCTCTGTAAATAACTGATCCAAAGAGCCACAGTTTACAGTGAAGACTGAGAGATCTACGAGTAAGCTGTCATTATGGTTGTTACGAAGCATTGTTTAAAGTAGAGTGCTTTTCCAAACCCTACAATTCCAATCAGAGTTATTTTGTAGAAGAAAGCCTTCAAGGATTTGAAGAAACTAATGCATAATGCTTAAATAAAGATACCACACAAACACCCAAGACTGACAATCAAATGTAGGGTTCTTACATAATATAAAATTTTTTGGGGGTTGACCAGTTCTAAGGTTGACAACTGCAAACCCATCAACGGACTTCCTTTATCTTAACCATCTCAGTAACTACACCAAAACATGTGAAAGGTTTCAAAACTCTAATGAGAAATAGTTATCAACTATTCCATGTCCCAGTAAGTCCTCCAACAAATCTACTGATCCTGAATTCAATTATTCTAGGCCTGCCTTGCGAATGTTCAAAGCAGAGTGCTTTTCCAGATCCTACAATTACAAAAAATGCGTCTCCAATGGATCAAAGTCATAACACAAATCTAATGCACAATGCTCAAAAAATATAAAATACTGCACAGACACCCAACACTAACAATCAAATGTACGGTTCTTACATACCATTACCATTTTGTGGGGGTTGACAAGGTCTACAGTTGACAACTGCGAACTGCAAATCCATCAGTTAACTTCTTTTACCTTCACCTTTTCAATACACTAAAACAGCATCTCAAAGGTTTCAAAATTCTAGAGACTCAAGCTCAGAATCTATCCAAGAGCAAGTCGGTACTTTCAGAAAAAAAAAACCTGTCAATTATCCCATGTCCCAGTAAAGGCTGATTTATACTTCTGCGTCGGACCTACGCCGTAGCCTTTACGCCGTAGGCTATGCGTCAGTTTTCATTTATACTTCTGCGTCGTTGTCCGCGTCAACGTGCAGTACACATGCAAACCGCTAGTCTGCAGTGTCCACGGGCATGTTGCTGGTGTAACCCGCAGCAGCAAAAGCCGAAGAAGAATCGGCTCGTCGGAGAAGCATTATAGCCGTGACGCGGCAAATAAATATCAAATCATTAAATCATTATTTAAAACTACAAAAAGGAGACAACAACGGAACAGGAGAAGATGGAATACTTTCAATCTCCACAAGGACTTGTACCACGGCAAATCAACATTGTTTGTCGTGGACAACTACTGATGTATAATGCTATGTAGTATAATAAATGATAAGACACTTGTTCTTTGCTTTGTTTTATTTTATATAAGAAGGTGTAACATTAAAATATATTAAAGTGCACATAAACACACACAAAACTCAAGTACATATGGAGGGAGGGGCTCTTGCAGACCAATCAGCGCTTGCGGTCTGCGTAGAATTGACGCACTGTTAGATTTTTGGAGAGGTGCACAACCAGCTACGGCGTAGGGTGTGTGTCTATGTGTAGGTTCGACGCAGAAGTATAAATTGGGCTTAAGTCCCCGAACGAATCTACTATTCCTGAACTACTACTACTATAACCAAACCAAGTTTGCATCAAGGTGGTGATGATCTTACCTCCAGCACTGGTCCAGCACCCAAAATGGTTCGTTCCACTCCGCTTGCATAACCCTTCTGGCTGAGAGCCGTCAAGCAGTGAATGAGGAAGTTAGTGCTTTGCGTTTTGCCCGATCCGCTCTCTCCTGAGATAACAATACACTGGTTGACATGCTTGTGCAACATGGCGTAGTAGGCTACATCGGCAATGGCGAAAATATGGGGTTCCAGCTTTCCCAACTGGTGGTTCTCGTACATTTTGACGTATTTGGGGTTGTAAATGGGTAAGAACTTAAAGGGATTGATGGCAATGAGGATACTGCCAGCGTATGTATAAATTTTCTTCTTCTGAAAACGAATGCGGAGGTTATCCAAGATGCTGTCCTCACTTAGGACTGGAAGGTTACAGAGGTCCTCAAGGTCCTCCTGCTGGGGTGGGAGGAAACCCCGAGCAACCAGTCGCTTGGACTCCTGCTCGTTCCCCTCGGCGGGCAGGTGCACATAGCGGATGGAGCCATCGCGGTTGCGCTCCTGCAGGAGGAAGTAAAATCCCTCTTTCTGAGAATGTTGCTCCTGGGCTTTTCTCGGCCAGAGAAGGACCCTGAGCACGGGAAGATCGGTCGATTCCAGCACCCACTCCTCCCCACCGCACTCCTTCACCTCGGCCAGGACATATCGCTTTCTGGTGTCCAGTCCAAGGGTCGCTGCCGCATCCCGTATGACGCTAGCTGCGGTGGCCTCCTTGGTGACTCTGAGTGTACAGCACAACACCGTCTCCAGAGAGAGTCGGGGGTAGATCTGAAGTTCGTAGGCCTTTCCATCTTGGCTAGTCGTCCCATTGCCATCTTTGACACTCATTCTGACTCAGGACGAGCCCCTTCAGCATTACGTACTGCCTTCACAACCACCATCTAGCACCTGGAAAAAGAGGACGCAAAGAATTAGGCCTGCAACTAACATGAGTGATTAATCGATAATTTCTTTGTTTAATCACTATTTTGCAAAATACTCACTTTAATTTAAAACATACAAATATGAATACTGCAGTAAAATAAGGTACAGACTACCAAAGAATTAGGCCTGCAACTAACATGAGTGATTAATCAATTATTTCTTCGATTAATCGTTATTTTGTTTAATTTAAAACAAATAGGAATATTACAGTAAAATAAGGTACATACTTGTACAAAAACACTTCTGAACCACATTAAACACTAGCCTAGACACATGAAACAACACATTTCTGGCCTTCTTTAAAGCATTTAATACAAATCACTCCATTTCTTTGGATAACTCATCATTGCGGATCACCCTGTGGCCATTTTATGAATGCATTTTTGTTCCAAGCCCAGATTTTCAGTGCTGCAAAGTGACATTTACTGAGAAAGGTTGTCCTTGAAAGCACATAGAGCCAACCAGCCAATAATGACATTTGTCAACAACAATTTCCATTGATTTTATTGATTCGATATTGCAGTCCCAGATTTCATACTGGCCTACTTTGTATCTTACTATTAACCTTTCACTTTTTGTTTTGGAACAAGTGCCAGCCAGTCTCATTCATCTTAATTAGATCGATCATTTGTAAACAAGAACTTCGGAATTTAATTAAAAAACTGAGATAAGGTGCCATTACCGGTGCTCTTCGGACGAACATATCGCCCCATCTCTTATTTCTCAGGCCTGCAGCTCTCCATCTCACCTTATTACTCATGGCGTCTGACACAGACTAAACAGCTCCTTTATTTAATCGGCCTAAAGCGTGTCCCTGCAATACACTCTGATCACGAGTGGAAATTGCATCTGTGTAGCTACGTCTAACAGGAAACCATGGTTACAGTTAGAGTTAGTGTGTTGCTGTGAATCTGCTGTGAATAGACAGCACATTTCTATAAATATACAGTACAAAGTCACAGCTGCTACATCATAGGTGTCAATATCGGCATGGCAACTGCATCCCTGCATAGCAAAATAAAGAGTTAGAAAGCACTATAGTCACATGCTTTATGGTCATTCCATGGAGAAAATTTGCATAAATGTTTTTATTGTAAAACAAGACAAAAAAAAAGAATATCTTTAAAAGAAGATACATTTTCGAAAGCAAAAATTGCATTATTAATATTAAGACTTTTTAGGGAATATATACTGAAATAATAAAAATATTCTTTATATAATTAAAATATTCTTGCTTCAAGCATAAATCAAGCAAAATTTACTAAGTAATTTGCTTATATCAGAAAAAAAATATATATTTAATACAACTTTGCTTTAAATTATTCTATCTTTAAGTATATAAAACAAGATATTTTAACATAAAAACAAGAAAAATACTCATTAAGAAAACAATGCTTTGTAGTTAGCAAGGAAAGAGGAAATAACTAAACTCTGCAAGCAACAAAGTTGCTCAACATACAAACAGAGTGAATCTCATTTTGCACACGGCACTTATAATACCGGTCTTTGGTTATGATTTCTTAATGCTTTTGATGTGTAAATCATAAGCTGTAGGAAAAATAACAATCAAATATTCCAAACTATCCCTTTAATGACGTTTTCTATCATTAAAATAATTCCACAACAAAAAATAATCTATTAAAGTCAACATCAAAATGCACTTTCTTAAAGGGGTCCTATTATGCCTTTTCACCTTTTCAACTTTAGTTAGTCTGTAATGTTGCTGTTTGAGCATAAAAAAGACCTGCAAAGTTACAAAGCTCAAAGTCCACTTCAAAAGTAGATATTTTATTCAACAGAAATCACTTTTCAAAAACTACAACAAACGACTCATTTGGACTACAACACATATTTTCCGGGATTTGTGATATCACAAATATCAACGAAT